TATACGGTCCTCTTACTGATCTATACTATACGGTCCTCTTACTGATCTATACTATACGGTCCTCTTACTGATCTATACTATACGGTCCTCTTACTGATCTATACTATACTATACGGTCCTCTTACTGATCTATACTATACGGTCTCTTACTGATCTATACTATACGGTCCTCTTATTCGATTATTTCCTTTTTACTTTTAAAAAGGAATATTTCAAACACACTGAATTAGATACATCTTGCTTGTGTGTGTGTGAGTGTACGTACGTGTATATACATACATATGCATGATAAAATATACACATACACATAAAAATCGCAGTGTATATATAATATTACACTATTAAGATCTACTTGAAACATTGAACTTCTTACAAAAATCCATACCTTCTTTATTTTCTCCCAGTCATCATTTTACGATATTTTATGTTAAACCTCTTTCTTTTATTTATCTGTTTTTTTTTCTTTCAGGGGTGAGAGTTCGTATGATTTGCGACACTACGACACACACGCGCTCATTCTCCATCTGCCTTAGTTGTTTGAACTTTAGCTCAGGTTTTAACTTCCTCCCTTCACAGTCTACCGATGAGACAGCGGTAAGTTTACGGATTTGCATCGCTAAAATCCGGGATTCGATTCCCCGCGGTGAACACAACGGATGGCCCAATGTGGCTTTGCTCTAAATTCTAATAAAAACAAACAAATATAACATTTGGCCTGGCATGGCCTGTTGGTTAGAGCGTGCGAGTCGCAATCTGTGGGTCACGGATTTGAATCCTCAACATCGAACATGCTCACCCTTTCAGCCGTGGGAGCATTTATAACAGTCAATCTCACTATTCGTTGGCAAAAGAGTAGCCAAAGAGCTGACTGTGGCTAATATTGAGTAGCTGCTTTCACTCTAGTCTATCACTGCTAAATTAGGGATGGCTCGCGCAGATAGCCCTCGTGTAGCTTTGCGCGAAATTCGAAACAACACATGCCAAACTCCGACTTAAATTTCATATAGCTTCAGATCACGTCTAACTGTTGATCTTTCTTTATTGACGTAATAAAAAGTTAAATATTGTCTTATTCAATTTTTTTTCTTTGTTTATTTGCTGTTAAGCACAAGGGCAACACAATGAACTATCTATGGTGTTGTACACAACATGGATATCGAATATAGTTTTTAGCGTTATATATCGTTAGACTTACTGCTAAGCCACAAGTGGGACCCTTATTCTAGTATTTGTTGATACTGTTCCGTTACAAAATGACTGGTTTAGATCCAAGCATTAATTTCATAATCAGTTACAAGGTGAAATGTTCAGAGCTAGTCTATTATATATTTTGCTTGTATAGTATTTTATACTAATCTCTTAAATACTCCATTTTATCAAACAGGTAAAATAAAACATGGTATAATCCTATCTGTGTTATGCTTATCCAACAGTTAAAATAAAACATGGTATAATCCTATCTGTATTACGCTTACCAAACAGGTAACATATAACATGATATAATCCTATCTGTATTACGCTTACCAAACAGGTAAAATAAAACGTGGTATAGTCCTATCTGGGTTACTCTTACCAAACAGGTAAACTAAAACGTGGTATAATCCTGAGCTACGCTTACCAAACAGGTAACATATAACATGATATAATCATATCTGGGTTACGCTTACCAAACAGGTAAAATAAAACGTGGTATAGCCCTATGTGGGTTACGCTTACCAAACGGGTAAAATAAAACGTAGTATAATCCTGAGTTACGTTTACCAAACTGGTAAAATAAAACATGGTATAATCCTATCTGGATCACACTTACCAAACACATAACACAAAACGTGGTATAGTCCTATATGGGTTACGTTTACCAAACAGATAAGATAAAGCATGGGTTGGTATTTAATTATAGCCAGATCTGTCTTGAATTATACTCATAGAGAAAATATTCACAATGAGCTTTGATACTTCATCGGTTTAATTTAGGGTTTTCTATCTTAATATTTAAGTTTACCGTTTCTTTATCAGTGCTTATAATCTTACTGTACCTTGGCATTCGTCAGTATTATAATGTCCATAGATCATAAAATTTGCTTCATGTTGTACGTATTTAATTTGGATGTTTCATGTCGACGATGATAAATTCACCCGAGTTATGCTCGGATGAGTAAGACATCGGAAAGATTTTATGTACTATAATCGAGATCGCATAGCATCTGCACAAAGAATATTATAAAGGTTATCATATATTGATTTTATTTTTACCACTTAAACTTACAAACGCTATACATATACCTGGGCAAAATAGCTTCAGCACTGTTGCAGTAGTTCTTTAACTGTCTTAACATGAACGTCTAACGCATTCTTCAAATACAAAAAAGCCTGCCTAAAGCGTTCTAATTTACTAAGAAACAAGAATCAAAGTTTATACACAATGCCCGTGAAAGCATTTATTAAATGTGAAATTTCCAACGTCGTAAGATTAATTTTACTTGTTCGTTGGTTTGCTCCCGAACGTCGCGCAAAACTACACAAAGGCCACCTGCGCACAACTGTTCCTAATTTTAAACTGATAGATCAAAAGGGAAGGTAGCTTATGAGCAGCTCCCACCGCCATTTTTTAGATTATTCAAATCGAATATTATAGGATTTGACCGTCACTCTTAGAACACAACCACGCTCCAAAGTGCGGAGCGCATTTGTTTCTTATTGTGGTAATGGAATGCAAGCCAGGGACCATTAACTTCACAGTTCTGCACGTTTACCAGATATCTCGATATACGACTAACTTCAATTGAGAGCCATGATCGACAACATAAAGCGACTTTCACTGCCACTAATGGATGCTAACTGGGCTTTTCTTTCTTCAGCATTTGCTATAAAATTATATGCAACTTTCAGGTTAGTTTACTTGAACGTAATGTGTTACCAAACCAGGGTACCACAGTTCAGGAAGATATGATTTTAACATCAGCTGATAATATAAAATGCTTTACATTCGATATCACTTACGTGTTAAACACACGCACCTAGGCATATATGTACACGTGCACATGCATGTACACGTATAGATACACATGTATACAAAAACACATATAGATATATACATATATGTGTATATAAATAAACATATTTGGATATTTGTGTATATATATATGTACACAAATATTTTATTTTTGTTTTATTTTGTTCTGATCAGATTCCTTACTTGATGATAGCTTAAAAGTTTTATGTTCATCTGCACATGTTAATTTATATGTATTTTCTGGTTTGTGGATGTGTATTTAAGTTTTGGTTCAAATATTGTATTTTTATAATGCTGCTACTTTATGTACAAAATTTTGTTACTTCTTGACTCTAACTGCTGCTGGATTAATCATCGGGATTTAGGCCATTGGCGACCTGGGAGGGTCAGGTTCTTGATAAACCTTTTCTTCCCTCCTGTGCTGTTGTTAACTGATATTTTATACTTTAGTTTTTTTTGTGTTTTTTTACAGGTAAACTAGTTTGGATGTTTATCTGTTTCTGTTGCAACTTTCCTTTTCAGGGCTATGTTCATTTTATGTTGTAAGTTTATGTATATTTCTGGACTTATGTTTGCTGTGTATTTGTGTGCTGTATTGTTTGTGGTAATACGAATAGTTGTATAACGTGTGGTAGTATTGGCGTTAGGTGTTCAATAGCTTTTTTTAATGATTAATACTGTCATCTTGGGTTTGAGGGTTTCTGTATTGTGCGAGGAACTCGTAGAATATGTTATTTTGCTTATTATGTGACTCTCACTGTACATCTATACATGTCGTTTAAAATACCCGCTTAACCGAACATCTGGTCGCTCACCTACTATACTATGTATACATGCACATACACATATATACACGCAAACGTATACGTATTTATTTTTTATTTCTTTAGAACCAATATCATATTCTCCGACCAAAGTGATCATTTTGATCAGATTATAAAGTATTTTCTAACATTTTATAAACCAAGCAAACATTAATTTCTAATCTTAAATAATATCAGTTTTCGAGAGAACGATGATCGCAGTGATTTTACCTCAGACAGGTCGATGACATTGATGCAGGGAAAGATTTTTACGATGCTCGTCTTCTCTATGAGTCTTGCACTGTTCATGCGCACTCTGCTTTATTTTTTTTAAGTCTGTTCACGTAGAGCCTGGGCTGTACGAGTGTGTCTGTACCAGCCGCGAGCAGTCTCAGTTCATGGCGGGAGCTTGTGCTGAATGTTCCACATCTTTTTCCGCTGTTACGTCGTTACCACAGGTAAGTTAAGTGGATTCCTATTCAGTTAGTTTTTTAACGTCCAGCAACAATGAATTAAAATAAGTATACAGTTTTCACAGATTAACAAAATATTTTGAATATTTTTTTTTGTCGTTCTACCACAAATTACAGAAGAATTTGTATCATGGTGATTTTTTTTGTTTGTATTTACCAGACGTGTTCCACGTGCAGTCTTCCATTTGTCGGCACGGCAACGCCCAATACTGTCATCTCAGGTTAAATGCTTTCATCAGTTCGACCCGTAATTATAACATATATGTCTATGACACAAATTCAATAATAATCTAGCATATTTATTCTTACTGAAAGCAGATTGACTGGTTTATTATTAATTTCAGTTCTGTAATCAATAATCCTGGAAGTTAATTAGTAACTATCATCATGTAATACAAATTCGCAACGTTATTGAAAACTTGTTTGACTAATTCATCACTCCTCAGTCACAGAAATACAGCCCCCTAGTGGCACAGCGGTAAGTATGGAAGCTTATAAATTGGGTTTCGATACCCGTGGTAAGGGCATCACAGATAGCCCATTGTGCAGCTTTGCGCTTAACAACAAAACAAACAAATACTGAAATATCTTATTTTCGAATTACAATTCTAAACAGAAAAAAAGCATAAACATAAATTGCCACTGTTTATTAAAACGATGAAACAAAACGATTTGCTTAAACACTTGAACAAATGAAGTTCGTTTTCAAGATTCAAATAAAACGAATTTTTAAGTATAGCATATGGAACCTTTTGACTTCACTACCGTGATTATTAATCTAGCCTAGTTATCAGAAGTGGAATAACGGTTATCACTACATACGAAAAGCCGTTAACATTACAAACAGTTTGTTGCTCTGCCGGTTTCCTGTTCTTATTTTTTCATGGCTAACTCTACATACTTGAAATTTACAGAAAGCTAGCTGTAAGTAAGTAATATTAGCCTCGTGAAATTTATCTTAACAGACATAAAACAACAGTTAGTTTTATACCTTTTATCAGACTAATATGATTTATATAACTTTAAATATATGAGAATGAAAAAATATGTAGATGAAGATTTGATGTTGATTTTAGCCCAGTTTCAGTTATTCGTGTATGAGAGTTTATTAATAAAATAATTGAAAATTATATTAATATGTGCGATAGATCAGCGCTTTCTCGTGCGTTGTAGTCTTAGCTTAGAACCCAAAGAACAGAAATTGTTTGGCTCGAAGATTGTTATTTGTGTCCACAGTGGGTAGATTTAGTAAAATCACGAAGTTCGTAAAAGCGAATTGGAGTTGGTAAACAAGGTAAGTAGGAGATAGAATAGCAAGCCCGCAGGTGTTAATGATTGGAGGCTTTGGTAAAGAAGGAAAAAAATACTCCACTAAGCTCTATTTTTCAATAGTAAGGCGCCTTCTTATTGAAACCCTCCTTGGACCCAGTCTGACTTCTGTTGCTATATATGATTCTGTACATGTGACAAGCTATTGCTATACTGTAGGTGTAAATAAGTAAAAAAAAATAAAAAAAATGGAGATTGCTATGTTACGGATAGCCAGCTCCTCCCTAAAGCCGACTAAAACAAGAATAAACTGAAATAATAATGTATGTAAGAATACTTCCATGATACACACTGTTGATCTATAAATCACCCTATGTTCTTCAGAAAGGTCTAAATGCTTGTAAAGTTTTATGTTCAGATCGCTTTCATAGTTAGGGATACAAAAACTTAAACACATTTGAACACTTTCATTCTATACTAAGACTGGTAACGTCCTTAACACTTTACTCATTTTACAACAAGACTGGTAACGTCCTTAACACTTTACTCATTTTACAACAAGACTGGTAACGTCCTTAACACTTTACTCACTTTACAACAAGACTGCTAACACCTTTAGATACTTTAATCATTTTACAATAAAACTTATAACACCTTTAAACACTTTACTCATTCTACTATAAGAATGGTAACACTTTTAGATGCTTTGCTCATTCTACTATAAGACTGGTAACACTTTTAGATGCTTTGCTCATTCTACAATAAGACTGGTAACACTTTTAGATGCTTTGCTCATTCTACTATAAGATTGTTAACACTTTTAGATGCTTTGCTCATTCTACAATAAGACTGGTAACACCTTTAAACACTTTACTCATTCTACTATAAGACTGGTAACACTTTTAGATGCTTTGCTCATTCTACTATAAGATTGTTAACACTTTTAGATGCTTTGCTCATTCTACAATAAGACTGGTAACACTTTTAGATACTTTGCTCATTCTACAATAAGACTGGTAACACTTTTAGATTCTTTGCTCATTCTACAATAAAACTGGTAACACTTTTAGATACTTTGCTCATTCTACAATAAGACTGGTAACACTTTTAGATACTTTGCTCATTCTACTATAAGACTGGTAACACTTTAAGATGCTTTGCTCATTCTACAATAAGGCTGGTAACACTTTTAGATACTTTGCTCATTCTACAATATAACTGATAACATCTTTCAACAATTTACTCTTAAATGAGGTAATATACGAAATTAGTTAGAACTTAAACTGTACTTTCTATCAAAATTATTGAAGAATGGTTATTCAAAGAAGAGAACTATTCTTCGTGTCTTTGGCGTTATATATAATAAACTAATAATTTGAAAGTAAAATGAACGTGATAAGTGCACTGTGTTTGATCAGTAAGTGAATCTTGCCTTTTCATCATCAAAATTCCAATAAAGACAAAAAAAAAAAGATTTCAAAAACTGAAAATACACTGAAATAAATTCATCAAGGAAAAACAACCTATAATCAGTAGAGACCAAGGATGGTGTATAATATATATAATTACCTTTCCTCCACCGAAGATACAATTCCAGTTTGAAACAATTATTTTTTATTTGTATCATTTTGAAAACTAATAATAGATTGAAGTTGTAATATCTATAGCAATACTTTCTTTATAAAATAAAATGAGGCTCATATTTTCAAATGCCGTAAACAACATTTTAAAACAAACTCACGTGGGTTTAATACACTTTATTCTAGAATTAAAATGCCAGTTACAAGTTCAAAAACTTCTGTGTATGTTTCTGTATTGTAGCCCCTTGATAAAAGTGTGCAACCAAAACGTTTGGAAATAAAGGTTTATTTATTTCATCAGAAGTAAAAGGTTCTCCAATTACTCAAGCACGTTACAGGAGGCTGCTATTAATATTGTATTGAGTTACGTAATTCATGAAGTTGGATATACCGTGTCATAGAATAGGTCTTATTTTCTCATAAAGTTCTGTAAAGATATATGGAGGTAGCTCAAGAAAATATTAATTTAATAACTTAGATGGCATAAACTTCGAGTTTATTCAAAGTAAAAAGTTTCACCAGGTTGACGTGGCATCTTGAGGGGATTGGCATTCAATGGTTTTAAAACGTAGTGTATTTGTATACTTTTGCTTCCAATAAACTTGGATTTTATGCCATCTACGCTGTTAATTACATGCCTGTAAAATTTTGTCATTGTGAATAACTCTGTTTACGCGGAAAATGATTGCCCTATGTATTATTAGATTGCACATTATTATGCTCCAATGCATCTTTCTCACAAAGTCGATATTGTGTTAAATGTCTATCCCTCTGAGTTATATATATGTGTGTGTGTGTGGGTGTGAGTTGTAGCTTATGCCCCCTTGCTCTGCCTTGAACACTATTTTCTCTTGAAATCTATTTTGAAGATCTTACTAAATAAGGTGGATGGGGGAGACATGTTGGATTCGTTTGGGAATGTTGGCCTTGATACTTTTCGATGTTTTTACAATAAGTTGACATTCTGATCAGTTGAAGTCACTGAAATATTTATTTAGTTTAAACAATGCCAACGTCTTTTTTTTTTTCGGAGGGGGGCATTCGTTTAAGGATTTGACAGATCTTAGGATTATCTCATATGTTATATGTTATTTTGTGCAACGGTTTATTGAAAAAGCAAGTTTACTACTTGCTTGTGGAAAATATTTGTTCATCCACCCAACCTGAACACTGAATCGATAAGTACACGTGTTACGTTTTGTTAATAAAATAAAATCCATTGTTCAACGTGTAAACATATGATATCCAGTCTATATAAGCATTTCTGTCAAAGTTTGTTGCACATTTTCTGTTGAGTTTAATGATTCAAATAACAAAGTTGCATATATTGTTGCAGTGAAATACAATTCAATGCATATAAATATTTAATCAAAGCTCATTTTACGTATATTATTTAGTAGAATGGTAAAAATAGCACAGTTAGTTATATTGCTTCAATGAAATAAAATCAGCAACCATATGACATTCAATCCATATAAATATTGTTATCATTATATACACAATATACAGTGCAATCATCAAAAATAAAAAAACAGCCACTCGAATTGTTGTAATAATAAACCATCAGTAAAAACCAAATGATGATACACTGAAGCTGGAATTAGTTCCTGAAGATTGCTTAGTTCAGAATTAATTACCATAAAATACAGTTAGGAAACCAGACACACAATGAAATCTGTAATGAACAGGTTATGTTTGAATCATCTTAATTAAGCACAGTAATTTAGCCTTGAATAACAGTTGAATCTTCAAAGCAGGTAGAAATCAGTACATCCTATTATAATAGACAAAATATAAACAGACATGTAGCCCTCCAGTGGCTCAGTAGTAGGTCTGAGGGCTTATAACGCTAAAACCTGGTGTTCGATTCTGGCTATGGGTACAGTGCATTTAGCCCATTCTGCAACTTTGCGCTTAAGTAAATATAAAGACGAATAGCGAATATACAAGCACAACATTATATGTAAGTTTGAACATTAGCAACATTATTCTGTTTAATAAACAATGTGCAGAAATCTCTAAATCATCATGTTTAATTTTATACGATTTTGTTAATTAAAAGACATAAAATATTAAAAACTGTCTATAATGTGAAATAGGAGTTCACTTGAACGCACCTACAAAGATCACGAGAAG